AAAGGTTCCCCGCAATCCTTGCTTGTGGTATCTGAAGTAGTTTAGGTACTAGTCTTCTTAGCTCCCAGCAATACTGAAGCAATGTTAGCTTTTGTGGACAATTTGTTGATAAGTGGTGCAATGTGCATCTGATTTATATTTCCTGCCACTTATGGTGCTGTTTGACTAATCTTAGAACTACTTTTGTATAGTTTTGTGCATTGCAATCCTCACCATCTAAACAACTAGTTGTAGATGGTGTTTTTGTTCAGAATTGGATTGCAATATAAGGCTTACGTATCATGTTACTAGACTGATCCAATGTAGTATCATGGACTATGTAATTAGTGGAGAAGGGGCAGGGACGGTTACTGCTGTTAAAGGTAGTATAATTACTCGCTGTTATTCTAGTGTTACAACGTGTACAAATGATGTTACACCGTGTGCAAAATGCACACAAGCTTCCGGAGTGCAACCGTTCCGGCCCCAGGTCCATAATTAGTTATGCATCTCTATATTGCCAAAATCTCTGATAATTAGTTATAACATTCTTTTTATTACACTTTTACACCCTCAGCTTCTAAATTAATATCATATGCCTATTTATTTCTATTTTTATCTTCTAAAATTCACTAATCATTTTGGGCTTTGGGTAAAAGTGAAACAAAAATAAAGTCTCTCTCCTACAATTCATTTTTTACTACCATTTTTAAATAAAGGGGTTGACAAGAAACCAAAGTTGTCATTCCAGGGGTGCTAAGTGTGATTTCAAAAAATATGGGGGGTGCTAGATGTGATTAGAAGAAACCTCAAGGGAGGTTTCTGATATTAATCCAAATTCATTTTCACATTATGTGTATGTACGTGATAGTATGTAAGGGCCAATAATTAATTGCAAATTTAAACAATAAGCTAACTTCTATAAATTTATGACCATGTAAGCATACACAAGTATTATGGGATACCTTACAACAAGTGTACCTTCTTGATGTTGTCAAGCCATCCTAGTCCTTGTTCAAGTAGTCTTTTTGGATGTTGAAGCTCATGACAAAACCATATGTATTGTAAAATTTATAAGCCTCATCTTCTGCATCAAACCCCATTCCTGTTTTAGGAATCCCATTCTCTGTCAACTTGTTGCTATCAACAACTGCATTTTCTGTCAATTACCACGTGTACATCAGTCATCACAATGTGAACCATTGCACTTACTCATTCCATCAACAAAAAGATTGCACATAAGTCATTAATTATGTACACGTTTGGCCCATTTCAACACATACACACTACGATGAAGTCAACATAATTACTAACCATCTGTATAGCAATTTTAATATCATATTATGTGCCATGTAGATAACATTACCGATGAACCAACACGCAATTGCAAATTCAAAGAAACAACTAAGTTATGTAAATTTCTCGCCATGCGGTTATAAATTTTGATAGACATGTACTTATCAACTACCCTGATAGTTTTTGCTACGCAAGCCACCCCACTCAACCTCTTTTAGCCAAGATATATGTATACTATGCAACCAGATTTTAAAAGGTGAGAACTTTAATTCATCAATTGAGTCAAATTTACAAACACTTGGCATGCATAAGTTCCCTGTGCATACGTTCTTTAAGTTGGCTCTCAATGTATCTAATTTATGCTACCCATATGATTTCCTTGTTTAGGAGTTTTCGCCAGAATTTCAATTTCATTATTCATGCCACACTGTCTTAAACGAGTTGTACAAACAAAATCATGCAAGTAAATTCATCCCTCTTCTGTCGCAAAACAAGCCAAATAGTGCAATGAGTTTGCAATATTCTTACCTTTGGGGTTTAGTCCAATTCAATTGAGTCTATCTCTGCTTTAGATCTCACCAACTTCCGTCTTGTTGCAGCCTTGATGAAAAATTTTTGTCCCGCAACAGTTACTTCTGCAACACTATACACTTTCTCTAAAAACCTCTCATCTGAAACTTCCCAATTTGGGGTAGGGATATTATTTTGCTGATACTCTGGAATTGTGAATGAATGTTCACAAGATATGTTTTTGGAGGGAGACCAAAATTCTATTTCATTTGAAAATTTCAGATGAAGAGTCGTGCCTCATTAATTTGAGCGGGAATTTTTGGAACGGAACAGCTGAGGTATTTTAACGGAGCCCGTTAGCCCCTCAGATATTTTTTTATTTTTTTTCCTACTCACTTGCTAAAACAACGTCGTTTTCCTTTGCTGTTGCTCCCATTATACGTGGCCTATTGCAGTCCTCTCATTTTTTTTTTGTGAGAGGACCGCTCAGGGACGGGCTCCGTTGTATCTAAGTTAATGTATCTAAGTTAGTTGGCTCTCAATGTATCTAATTTATGCTACCCATATGTATAGTAACTTTAATTGTAAACAGTATAACACAAATTGTTGTATGACTTGTGCATATGAGTTTCAATTGGTTATGGTTAGGCATTGTGATTATAATAACAAGTAAAGGTGATTACTAATATAGAGGGCTCACATGAATTTTTAAAAAATTTCTTGCTATTTCTTCTTGGCTTTCCTTTATATTAAATCAAACATTTCAATAATACAATTTAATGTATTATATTTATTTTCATCTTAAATTGATAATTTTATTGAATAATTTAAATATTTATAAAATATTTATTTCAATTGAAACTTAATTGACAACTAGTTGAAATACCAAAAAAAAAAAAAGAAAATATTATTCAATCAACTCACTGACATATAGTTGTTTATATTATAATAGAATATTTAATTAACTATTTTAATTTATCAAATATAAATATTGGGCATTAGATGATGAATAAATTTTTAAGAGGACTTTTATTGTGATTTTAAAATGTATTACGTTTTTCATCCAGGCCCAACCGGCTTTCTCCAGTGGTGCCCGATATCCTTCTTTGTGCGTTCCCACATGGCACAGTTGTCCTCCTTGCATTGCTTCTGCCTACTATGGGCAGAAAAGTTAACTTTCCACCGTAGACGTAACCGTCATTTGCCCAATCAATCAGCTTAAATGAAAGTTGGAGAACTTTTATTGAAGTCTGATGGTTGCACTGTTGCAGCCACCATTAACTGAAGGAAAAATGAATGAGGCAGCAGAGAGCTGGGGAGTTTCTAAAGGGTTGTTGCCCTCTCTGTTTTCCTGCCTATGATTTCGGCAATTCTTTTTGAAAAAAGAAAGAAATTAACAGCCCTTTGCAGAAATCAGAAACTGGAAATGTTATCAAACGAGGCCTGTTTGGATTGGAGATTATTTCTGAAAGATCTGCTGAGATAGCAGTGCTTGTTTCATCACAACCTTAATTCTTTGTTGTTGCTGCTGCTGCTCTGCTGTGTAGTCATAATTACTGATGCCTTTTTGCATTTGGGCGTTGAGGTTTGTGTATATTTCCGGGCAGTGACGATGAAAATCCTTTCTTGAGTTATTGATGGCGAAATTCATGGAGGTAAATTCGAGCCCGTATCTTGGCTGGGCAACCCAGATGGCGTGTGGGATGAGATAGGACTCATCCGCATATGTAACTGGGAATTTGCAGCCATGGCGGTGTCTCCCTCCATTTTGCCTCCACTTTTTACAGATCTGAGCCTGATTGATCATTGCATGTATCTTCTCTGTATCTTTTAATTACTCGATTGTTTTTGTTTCAGTCTTCTGGTATGTTGATTTGTTGGTGGATGAATTCCATTGGAAACAATACATTGATGGACCTAGAAGCATCAAGTCATTAAGCCAGGAGCAACCAAGAAATTTTATGCAGCAATTATCTGTTATGAAACATTAATTTTGACTTTTACGCCCTTGTCATGTTAGTGACCATCTTCGTTAGGGCTAAAGACCAGTTAAAAGAGTATTTTCCCACCTCCTACAGTCTTGGTACTAGTTTTCCATATGTTTTGGGGCTCAACAAGTAGAATCTGCGGTCAACCATGATTTGTTTGATATAATTCGGTTTCTGTTTCAATTTTGGTCTTAGGAAGTTGATGCTGGTCATGCACTGATCAATTTCCGGCACAGATAAGCACATCTGAGTTCCATATATTGGTACTTTGAAAGGGGATTATTCAATGGACAGATCTTAATTAGGAGACTAAGGACTCTAACGTATCTCACTCGTCAATCATTTTGCAGCGATCTTTGTTATATTAATTTTACTGGTTTTACACATGGACTTATGCTTTGCTTTAATTACCCTGCTGCTATAATGGTTTGCTTCAATGGTATCGCATGAACATCTCTGAGGACACTTTGGGCTTTGACACTACAACTTCTGGTCAATTTTGAATATCAGGTGTGCTTTGTTTCTCTCCTGAGCCCCCCCCCCCTCCCCCTTTCTGGTGTGTTGCATGATTTTGGTAGCATTTTACTAAATGCAGCAAATTTCAGTTTCGAAAAATTGCAGGATCTTTAAAATGCACTTTGGATAATTTGCACTGTGGTATATCAGAAGAGAGATGATGTCAATATGTAGTGAAAAATAAGCAAAATCCATTTACATTTTTAAAGAAGACAGAGCCTGATTGTTCTTTATTGCTGTCCTTTGCTGTTAGGTTTCGTTTTAAGGACATATTGAGGACAACAATATTGGCTAATGATAGTCTCTCTGTTTGCATATCTAGAGTTTTGGTAGTTTAGTTTAGAGATTTGAAGCTTCAAATTTCACACTCCACAAGAATGTTATCAAAGACGAAGTGACCAACTGATGTAGGGAAAAATTGTTTTCCTGATGTTTCTGGGGTAGCCTATGAGAGCCTTAGCTAATTCACTCTTTCCTTCTCTAGTGGGGAAAAACAAAAGATGATTGCAGAATACAAATACGTTATTAGGTATAACTATTCTTTACAGAATATATTTGGGTGTCTCTACAAGCTAATAAAATGACCTAGAATTGCAATTTGTACTCCAGCTGCAATGTCTTGAACACTTCTTCGACGAACATCCTGCTGCCAAATTTCAGTAAGTAAGAGTTGTAGTGTACTGAACTTCAGCAATCCTATCATACGGTGACATGATAGGTGTCTGAATTTGGTAATTTTGATATGGATTCAGGTGGAAGTTCCATTGTAGAGGTATTGATTCATAAATTCATACTGCCTATTATCATTCTGCTCCAAACGATCCCAAACAGACTGCCTCTCGTCATCTGCCTCCATTGGCCTCACCCATGGATGTTGAATCCTAGCATGTTTCCTTAATTCATCATAATTCCCAGAAAAATCACAAGATTCCAGAGCACAACCCCGTGTTCCCGAGTTCATGTACGTGCGAGCACCTTGTACCACAATCCAACCACTGATGTTTCCCCGAGAAAGAGGGCACACAAGTTCAAGAACCCGTCTGTTTCCACAAGGAAAAGACCCGTTTGGTTGATCAGTGGAAGTTGATTTTGATGGGGATAACCCATGCAATTTACAGAACTGATCAAAACAATTTGAATGGTGGTAGCTTGTGTCACAGATGAATTCCTGGTTCTTTTGAGCAGAACTACTTTCCACAGAGTTCTTGCAATTCCTGCTATTAGTCTTTGATTTGTTGCAATTGTAAGGAAATGTCCTTGAATATTGATTGGAAGATGAGAGATTCAATCTTATGTCCTTCAGCATCTTAGATGTTTGATGGATGCTTTTTATAAGAGGATTCAAGTTTGGTTTTCTTGATCAACTGTTTGAGACGAATTACTACTTTTTTTTTTGTGCTAGACTCAGAAGATGGGGCTTTCTGAATTTTTGATGAGTTCGATTCTGTGAAGGATTTCTCTCAGAAATAGAGCACCAAAGTACGTTCCTGATTGATCATTGTCCACGTGAAACTATATGGGGTTTGTATTTATAAGTACAACGCAGGGTAGGATACAGTTGAGGTGAGAATCCTAGGAAATTTTCCAAAGTTCAATTAGACAGAAGAAAGAAGGTGTTTATTGGAAAATTTGAACTGGCATTCCTTCAAACACAAGGCAGAGAACCACCCAATAAATTTGGACACAGTTGCAAAGGTCAAATAATACTTTAACATGTTAGATCAAACTAATTAAAGCACATTAATAAGTAAATCCTAAGGCTCCTCCATCTGGAGGAAGTGGAGAATTGAAGTTGGAGTAGTTAAATCGTATTGATGATCCGTTCATTCTTGAGGACGCATCACTCACATGGTTCAAAAAAAAAAAAAAAAAAGTTCTTCTTTTGGATATTTGTTTCCATCAAATATTTAACTAGTACAATGTTATCATCAGTAACAGCAGACCAATGCTGAATGTTTTGAGACTGTCAAAGAAAAACAATCCTGCATGAATTCATGCTGAGGAAAGTTCTAAGTAAAACCACCTGATGTTATTGATGAACCTAAGTAACACTAGTGAGTTCACCAAAGGCTTCCAAATCCTGAGTATCTCATGACTTTCCACTCTCAGCAGGAGACATCTTCTTCTCAGAAAATGCTTTTCCGGTCACATGGTATGATTCTTTTCATCTGCACGGCATCGTGAATAGCTTGAATACCTGTCTGGATGTTGTGCTTCCAAGGTACGCAAAATGCACCGCCTTGCCGATGCCTCTTAAACAGATTAAACCCCATAAAGCAGCTCAACCATTTCTCATATTCTAAGGCACCTGATGTTGGGGCCATTGAAGTATCATGCATTCCTTTAGTCGCCTGTCAGTAACAAAACATAGAGCTGTAATCTGATATCCAACGGATTCTTGGCAAAAAGTCTATCACTCTATCCCAAGAAGCTGGAGAATTGTCTTCAACTCTATCCCAAGAATTGTCTTCAATGCCAAGGTAGGCTTCCTCTTCGTGGGTGCGCTGAGGATCAATGTGAGTGCCATGACTCGATGTGCTGAGGATCAATCTCAGGTAGTTGTCATCTCTGCTTCGCCTCCCTTGCATAGCCGCCTTCCCTTCCATCTTCATACATTGGATTGGGTGTCACTTGGCAGATGGCTTAATCGAGGCGAGCACAACCAATAACTTAGACAACTGTTCAACACCAAACACAATAACTTCGACTATAATCTCTACAGGATCCCTCCTTTTATATCTTTGGCCGATTTGCTGATTAGGCAAATTTTATGAAGTTGAGAACCCCAGTATATTCGATGTTCGAGTACTCCAAAATTCAACAGGAGACAATGATCAATTTCTCGAACACAAATTTTAACAAAATAGTCTAGGATCAATTTCTCCAACAATAGACCTGAGGATCATTTCTCTACAATTTATGGAACCTGACAATTGGGAGACCCTAGGATCAATTTCTACAATCCAACAAGTGAATACCTAGAAAGACTAATTCCACTTGTAGGACATTTATGATCATGGCACAAAAAGATCAAGAAAGAATCACACTAAGGCCCTTTGGAAGGCAACCAGCTCTATTCTATATCACCAAAACCTCACCTAGTACAACAGTTCATATACATAAGAATTATAGTCGGCCAAAACCAACATAGGCTCAAGAGTAACTTAGAAGCAAAGCGATTAACATGTATGTATAGAAAAATAAAGCGACTGGAAGACTGTACAGCCCAGTTTCTAATCCCATCTGAATGATAATGCCATGACAACTTTAGAATCTAACAACTTACTAGTGAATAAATTTGTAGGACTTGACTAGAAAACAAAAGGGCAACTACATGAAAATTCTCTCTCTCTACAGTTCCGAATAAAGAATGTTCATTCACATGATTTGTAAATCAAGATTCTTCAAAGTTATTTGATATATAGGGGGGCAACATGCAAAAATTTTACCCATATTATTCAGCAGTTTTCTGTAAGGTCATGTTAATAGGAGTGCCCAAAACTTTATCTTGGAAGGAATGACTTGCTCATGGTTGCATATCTTGGAAAGGGAAGACTTTTAGCATATCAATTGGTAGTGGAAAGGATGTGTATTTCCTGACCTTATCCACAACGACCAGAAGCAAGAATAACAAGCCTCTCATTAAGGGTACAAGAAACAACTCCAGCAAATGTACCACTCAGTATGCTTTAATTGCAGGGCCTAATATAGTACCTCAGGAACCAAAACAAAGATTGTTACTGTTAAGCCAGAAACTCAGAAAGAGATCAAATACATGGTATTTAAAATTATGAAAATAATTGAAAATCTATACAGAAGAAAAAGGTAGAGCAAAACAAGCACCAAGGCTTTGGGATGATTATAAGGTCTTTGAGTACATCACATGACTTCTCTACCACTTTGTTGAAGTTCAATCTTGTGTGCAACATCCCCCTTCAAGTTTATTGAATAAGTTACCTGTTATAAAAAAAAAAATTGAAGGTTACAGAAGTTCAAAATTTAGATTATTCAAAGGACAAATCATAACATGTTAACACTCACGAGTTCTAGGGAACTGACTCTGTGTAGAAGAAAACCATTCACCTTTTCCCTGGAAAAGATACAAAACAGTAGAAGATGGTTATCAATAATGCTTCAGGCAAAACATCACCTTAGAAGATTAGAACTAAGGATGAAGCACTCACTTGTTTTGATCAAATATCCTACGAATTGGAGTAAGACAAGGTCCTTTGCCCGGTTGATCAGCATTACCAGGCTGTTTTGCACTCTGTTTGTGAACATGTTTGGTACAAGCATGGCCACTGAGGTAAGCGTCCTACTAGGACAAAGTTCATGTGCAAAGATTCAGGAGATTCAGGAGTAAGCTTTATGATACATGAAACATCAGAGAAGTACTGGCCTCTGAACTCAGTGATGTCAGGAATTTTGGGGAAAAGGTATTTGCTTTGAAGGTTTACTATTTGAATGCTATGGACAGAATTTGATCGCCAAAACTACCACTCACCACTCGATGATTCAAAAACATTTCATTAAGACAGAGAGGATTGTCTTTAGCTTCCGTACTTCCATTACAAGCTAACAGTGGGTGGAAACCAACAACAATGCGCCTTTAGCCCCAATAGGAAAACCAAAAAGCAAACCAGAAGATGTTAATAATTGAAAGTGGGTTGAATGTAAAAAGTATGCAGCAAGCTGCCACGGATGGTAGCAACAGGCCTTGAAAGAAGAAATGTAATCCTTTTTAAGAAGTAGTGCAAGATTCTAAGCTTTAGACCATTGGTTTTTTATTCTTTTACTGCATGGTCATACAACTAAGCTACACAATAGTTGCAAAAAATTTTCAGAAGAAAAAAGCTACTTTTCATTTACCCTTGAAATTGGTTCCAAAGTTGACAACCTTATTTTCAGGAAGATAAGCCACAACATTGTTCACATTAAATTAATTTTTGTCCATTTCCAATAAATAGCTTACCAGTCACTGGTGCTTTCTTCCAGTGTCTTCGTGAGCCATAGTAACTGATGCTCCATAGCACCAGCTGAAGGGCCCTGGAGAATTCAAGTTTGTTAAAATGAACCATCAAAAATGTCTTTGTTATTCACTGAGAGGTAACAAAAAGGAGAGTGCGGGAAAAGAGTTAGTGAAGTATGCAGCTAAGGACCATAATGGTCCACTAGAAAATGGAAGTATGTTTCTTCTTCTCTTCATATTCATTTAACAGTTGCGGACACCATTACAGGATTAACAATGAGCTGGTTCAAGTACGCAGCAAAACATAGTAGCTCTTTGATCACTCTAGCTGATCTATGACCTCAGGCAAGGACTGCCAAAAGGGTGGGACCTAGGTATAAAAAGGTTCAAGTGAAATCTAGTTCTAGGAAACCTGTCAAAACTCATAAATGCGGGGCTATAAGACAGATGAGAAGAGCTTAATAACAGGGATTGTGCAGTTACAGTGGAGCATACTTCTGGAGAGGGCAAGAGAACCGCTTATGTGTAATATATATAGGCATCTCTTTATTCCGAAACTGAACATTTTCAATGCCTACATATGATGTAATCTCTTGAATGTAGGCTTTTTGCTTCTGAATTTGAACTTTTATACATAGTGACCCGAATTTTTAATTAGTACACTGAACTCCCCTTAAAACCAAACAAGTTTAGAAGGTATAAAGTGAATGGGATTATGTTCAAGTAAAGAAAGAATAAGATCAAACCCAAATCCCCAGGCAATTGCAAGACAAAAGTAAATGCTACTTAAGCCACTTTCTCCTTAGCTTTGATTATTTCCATGTCCATCTTACGGGGAAACTTGGTTTTTCCTTTGAGATTTCCAGGTTCTTATATAATCTATTTTCCGAAGAGAATAACACAATGCGAGTATCATTTAGGCTCATGCATCTAGCACTCCTGCACATGGTATTTATTCTTCATTTCAATTCATCATCAGAACCATGCATCAAAACCATGTCTCAAAACTGTACAATTAAGGTAATGTCCTTAAATGGTTTCACTGAAAACAGGGATGAAGGCAAAATCTTGAAATGGGGAAACTAATTCATAGTATAGATGCATCTAGCACAGAAACTGGGGCTACCAATTACAGACAGGATCTTCTGCAGATTTCTATGATGTATACCCCTTAAACACAACAGTAGATTCAAAGAACTAGAAAGCACTATTTGAAAAGGCAAGGGTTGCCAACCTTACCTTGACCCTACGAGTATACAGACTGCTCCCAGTCAAACAAACCAAAAACATGTATCCTCAATGTCAATTGATTTTTAATGATACATCAGAAAATTAAATGACTACTATTATTTGCAAGAAAGGGAATATTCAAGTTCATGTGTTAAGCATGATTCATACCTGAAATAACTCTGTATTCACAATTACAATATCCAAGGTATTCCCATATTGAACTTTTGTATGCTCGAGGTAGGAACCAGGTCTTTGTCCTTTGAATGATTTTGTTGTGTACCTACAAGTTACAGCAGCTGAAGAGAAATTGGGAAAAAGGACTCTTAACAAATTTGAACCTCCAACTAAAACTGCCAAAGTCAGACATGGTAAAGGATGGTATACCAGGGAAGTTTTAGAGACAGAAAATACCACGTGGCCTGTTAGGAAAGAAATGCATGTTAGTTGCTTATAGCTAAAACTACCAAGTAAAACAAGATCCTAAATAACTGATGAGATCCCAATCAGACCCATAATGTAACTGGTGTAATTTTTTGGTATAAAAACTAAATTTTGCTACCACAAGGATACTTCAAAAGAACAAGTTCAAGATGAAATGTATTTTGCTCTACAGAACGGAATATATGAGGAAACTTCAAGAGATGATGAACCATGCACAAATTATCAGATTCATGAAACTATTTGGCACAAATAAATCAGGTGTAGGTGACCACAAACAACCGTTCCTCACAAGAGTAAACCGTACTTTGAAGAAGAAGTAGAATTTATTACAACAGCAACGAAATCAGTTTCACCATTAGTACATATATTTACAGCAATATCAAAAACAGTAATCTTTTCTGCAGGAGACAGGTAGGTAGGTGACTGAGAAAATATCCATTGTTAGTTTCTAATGTTAACCGATTCCTGTATTGAGTTTATTGATTGCCTGTCATTTTTTCAATATGTACACGTCTAACCAAGCAAATTTTACCTAATTGTGCTTATCTAGGTAACTTCGAACTGGGCGAACAATCCAGCATAAAGGTTTCACCCAGCATAAAGGTGCATTAAACGATTAAAAAGTCATGCCTTACATTCAGGCCGAGAGGATCATTTTCTCCAAGTTCACTAATGCTCACTACAAATTGTACTTTGTACACTTTTGCCACCTTCGCCATCTGCATCAACATTACAGAGAATCCAAATTTCCAGTCAAATCAAGCACCAAAAGCAAGATGACAATAAAGCAAAACTCTCACCGCATAATTGGATGGCTTTAATTGGAACAGCTAATAAACAAACATTCATATTAAAACTACAGAGAAAATCCTATCAGTACTAGTACTGTCAGATGAACTAAATGATCTCTGTACAAGAATGCCTTTCGGCCATAACCTAAACAACAAAGCAGTAATTAAATCCAGCCAAGAAACAACCTTCAAAGTCACCAAATAAAACAGATTAGACCAACAGTTCAAACCCAATAATCCAAACCTCTAATTTAAAACCCGGTATCTAATGAAAAGGGATGAAAAAACACAAATTTTTCTTTATTACCAATAGAAAAGCCATGCAAACTACAAGAAACTGACCAGTTTGAGAAGAAGGGTCTGTTCTTTTTCAGGCCTAAAACCTCCTGCAACACTCATAAAGTACGTCTCAACAGGCCTGCTGCTACTCTCAGTTCTGTCACCCATGTTAAATGCAAGGTAAACACAGAAACAGAGGGAAATCTGTGTGATGAAAGTGCAAAGCCATGAATGTTCCTTCATTATTATTGCCTGAACTTAGTTCAGATTCCAGACGGCTGAAACAATCAAAAAGAATACCACCAAGTTCCCTTAATTTTTTTTGCTGATAGTGGAAGAACATGCGCATAATGCGGCATGTAGATCCGATAAGTACTGAGAATGGAACACTAGTTCTTACTGCGCAGGCATTACGTATATCTCTTCCAATTACGGTGTGTGTGTGTGTGTGTGTGTGTGTGTTTTTTTTTTTTTTTTCAATTTTTTCCCGTCTCACTTTTCATAATTCATTTTCTTTTTAAAGTTTCAGTAACTCTTAACCGGGTAAGAAATAAAATACAATGGACTACAAAAACAAAATATAGCCAAAAAATAATTATTTCATTCTATTACATTTTATTTTTGTAGTATGCTATATTTAAATTTTTTTTACTTTGTTAGTAGTTGTTAAAACTTAAAAAAAAAATTTGAATAAAATGAGATTCTTACCAAGGATACGTGTTGATACACGTACTTTAAATCTTTCTTCTCCCAAAAGAATTCTTAAACCTTTTTTTGCCTTCTCAAAAAAATAATTAAATCACCTTTCAAAGTTGAGGAACCATTAATGTTAAAAAAATTAAAGGAAAAAATGCCTAAATGCCACCTCGAGAAAATAAGAGTAAAATTATATTAATGTCCATGTTAGTGATTCCCTTTCTATTTTTTTTTTTTTTTTGCCTTGAGATGCTCTCTTAGTTTCTAGCACCATCTAATTTTTTAAAACCAGTGAGAAATTCACTTTTATATTGATTTCTTTTACTTTATTTTTAAGTCTTATCTATTTTATTCTACTGTTATAATGAGTGAAACATGTATTAATAAAAAAAAAATATTTGAAGGCAACATTGAGAAAACTGAATTAACACAAAAAATCACAAAACATCCAATACTAGTACGAAATTTGGCCCTTGATTTCAAAATATGTAGTCAACACTCGAAAGTGTTGATAGTTATCAATTTTACAATTACGTCTCGTCATATAGTTTCCTTATCCCGCGGGCAACAACTTCTGTTGTTTGGTTGGTTATGGTAAATAATGTCCATTTTGATGAAGAAATGAACAATGGCGGGTCCATCATTCACTTTTTCAAGAGGTATGAAAGGTGCTGAAGATGTTGCCAATTGGTATAGGCAATCAAGAAATAGCAAATTGGACAAGTCGTCCCATCATTTCCTGAAGAGTTTCTAGAACTGCTCACTTTTCCTGAGATACAATTACGAGTCCGAAGAAGATTTATGATTCCAAAGCACTCAAAACCAACTACAAACATGTGTCTTGTGGACCTTGGATCAAAATCATTATATCAAGTTATGTATAATGTGTCTATAACATTCCAACTATCATTATTGAGGACATTGAATCAAAATCAAAATTAGAATACTCCCTCAGTTATGTCATTGGGACAAGTTTTGTATTTTAGATTATTGAGTGAATAGTGACTAACCATAAAGCCAATAAGAGTTGCCTCAACTGGTAAAGATCGTTCGCCTTGTTCAAGAGAAGCTCGGGTTTGAGTTTCACTATCAGCAGTTTCCAATTGATAATCAATCTGTAACAAAATAATTAAAAAAAACTGCAATCACCTCGTGCTGGGGTAACCTTCCTCCCCTCCTAAACTTTTTCCTTGCTGAAAATAAGAAGGATAGAGTATATAACCCTCAACCAAACCAGGAAAGAAAATGGAAAAGGACCCTGAACTGAAAGCATTTGATATTGCGCTGTCTTTACTCCGTGCAGTGAACAGTCCCTTGAGCCTTGGATTTTAGTAACGAGTCACCAAAGCCACTGAATACTTTGGAGAATGTTTGAGCTCCAAATGGAATTTTGATTTTTAGATCGTATAACCAAAGAAGGCATCCCATGTATCAAAATCTCCATTCAGAGCTTTTACTTTTCTAGAATTAATGAAGTTGTGAAGTGTAAATCCCATCATCTTTGATACGATGTAACTTTTAGTGCAAAATTGTGGAAGTACAGACATTGATTTCCAGTGCAACTGAGGCAAATATATTGAGGAACTAAAGATCCCATCTAACATTGAGGCACTAACAAATTCAGATTTTGCTCTGATGCGATACAAAATGGGAATGCTGGACATATCGCCCAACAGCCCAACCTTAGTAAAGATAAAAGCACGGGGAAAAAAAAAAAGAAACTCATCCCAACCTTCCCAGCGTTGTGGCGAGAGCGAGAATGAAGTGCAGATTGCTGAACTACTTATCCTCAACTTCCCAAGAATTAATTTGGTTTTCCTTGAGCACAGGCTCTGCAGCACAAGAATTCAAAGATGCTATTGCCATGATCACAAAGCCATATAGATTGAAGACTAAAATCATGCAACATGAACAACAAAATGTTGGATGAAGGCAACAAAAGTGTTGCATGATGGATTTCTGATTAGTCCATGCAAGGATGGTTATTTAGAGGCCATGCACCAAAGAATAGAACCAGAAACAAAAGAAAGACCGTTACAGAATAAGATGCCTGTGTCTCACTGCGTTTTCTTTAAATGAAAGATGCGGATGCAATTTTAGCAAGCACAAACTCTGTACATAAATGTTAAACTTACAGTGACAATTAATGAAGAATCTTCATTTTGTCTGAAGTCCTACTTGTGATTTTTGTTTGATCCATGACGTTTCTCCAATAAACCATTTCACATGTATGGATTAGGAACATCAATATCCTCAATCTAATCCACCTCGATCAAGCATGTCTACTAAAGTCATCCTCCTTGGGAACCTTGGCGGCAATCTTAAGATCATTGCATCGTCAATCTTAATTGGCAGATGAGTGGCCACAATGACGATCCCTCCCTTCTTTCTGTGCTCTGCAATTATATATTCTAGCAATTTCACCCCATCATCGTCCAATGCCACTGAAGGCTCGTCAAGTAACCAAATTGGCCGATCAATTGCTAACAGCCTTGCTAGCTGCAGCCTTTTTCGTTGACCCATAGAAAGCATTCGTGCTTTCTCTTTTGCCAATCGTCCAAGCCCCATAAGCTCCAAAGCAGGCAGAGACCTTCCTTGCTTGCCTTCAAGAACTTCAAACCACTGAACATTGTCAAGGACGGTGAACTTATCTTTGATAGCATCTTTAAGAGAGAGCCAATTAAGCTGAAGCTTGTACTGATGGAAAACGCCAGATTCTGTGATGTCATGACCATTCCAGAGTATCTCACCTGCTGATGGTTTGGAAAATCCTGCTAACATGCGCAAGAAAGTAGTTTTGCCTGAGCCATTGGTGCCTGTCAGCACAAGTGCACCACCATCATGAACAGAAACATTTACATGACGAAGTATTTGCTGAGCATTTCGCATGCAAGAGACATTGTTCAGGACAAGGCGAGGAAGCGGAGGCCTACGCAAGGACATTATAATCTGTAAAATACTCGGCCAATGTTCTTAGCAGTACCAAAAGTCCAGGATAATACGATGAATAAAGTTTCCCTTTGGCCAAAGCCAGTTATAAGAGCTGCAGGAGTTTAGATGTGCCAAAGAGATTTCCTGTCAATTTTGAAAATAAAATCACCACTAGGTTATAAAGACAACAATTACTTGATATTAGAATATTATGAATTAGACGAAGAAGTAGATTGAAATGCGTAAAATACAGACGTAGGACAGAAACAAGGTCTGCAAAACTCTTCAAAATTTCTATTGCGTGCATTGATTTCCTAGTCAATATGATCAATGAACAATCTCAATTGAACTTAATGAACATTTAAGCCAAAGGACAACCGTAAAGGAAGTGCATATGGTAAAGTAGACTGATTAGGAAATTGATACAAATGATCAATGAACTGCCAGACTAAGAATTTACAGTCAGCAGTAGATAATTACTACTCATTATTGACATCATCATTGACCCAACCAAAAAAAAAAGAAAAAAGAGCTGGAATGAAGACCAAATAAGCTAAATAACTCGATCCCAGGCAGAGAACCCAACTATGAATACTCATCTTTCAAACAGTCATTCTCACAAACACCTAATACGCATGTGACATTTCTATAACCCAGATGCGTCACGGGGCGACTCTCCTGCAGTTACTGAAAAGTTGGAGCAAAACTTCAAGATAAAGTAGAACTCAAACTTAATTACGAACAAACATAGAGGTGAGTATAGCTGCAAATTACGTGAGTGAATATTGGAAGTAAAAAACTGCTCTTACGGCTTCATCTGATATTGATGGATTGCCCAATGAAGAAATTTCCCGTGAGCTCTATTAGCTGGGTTGATGCTGCTCCTTTATTCCCTGCACAAGTTAAATCAATGGGACGGCTCAAGAAAGTTTCAGATGCAAATGTTTCTGATCTTCTTTCGACTTCAGTTTCATCAGACACGGAATAGTATTTCAATTATCAAGAATCAAGTCAATTTATGTAACATTTTTGGACTTCGGGCCTAGCCAATCGAACCTATTTCAACTATGTAGAAATCATATGTTAAATTGCACGCATTTTAGATTAATCTATCTCCTAAGACGTAAGCTTATCGTTACTTCATAAATGTCCGAAAACCTAAGTTAAGTTGTTAGGAATATTAGTCAGATGGTGATGAGACTAAAAGTCATATACTCTAAATTAGGAAAAAGCACCTAAGTTATTACTGTGCTTATTTCTGCACCAAAATCACCATTTGTTTTTCCGGTATTAATTTAGTCACTAGTCACTCAATTTATTAGTGTAGTTGCTAAGATTGGTCTTAATGACATGAGCATTCATTAATTTTTTTTTAAATAAAAAAATATGATTTTTCACATACACCACTAATAATTCTAATGCGCTGCACTAGGGTCAATATCAATATTATATCGCCAAGTAGTGATAATGAGTCAAATCTTATCTACTCGGTTATAGACAAATTGTAAATAAAAAAAATATATCCTATCATTATTATTTGTAACCAAGCAGTGTCAGTAGAATTTGCAATACCTTCCCTTTTTTTCGATGCGATAGACTATGATTGCAAACGAATCGAATCGCTCGCGAGCCGCTCAAATACGAGTTCGAGTCGAATTCAATCAATATCGAGTTCGAGCTGATCAAGTCGAACTCAAATTCAAAAATACTAAGTTTGTTAGTTCGCGAGCGACTCGTGAGCTCGATTATATATTTTTTTATTTTTTATTTTAATAGTAAAATTACATATATATATTCCTAATATTTTATTATTTGTTAAGAAAAATTATGATTTTATTCATTTTTAAAAAATAAAATATTTATTTATTTATTTTTAAAATAAAATAATTATTTTTTTAAAATATTTTAAGCTCAACTCAAATTTGAGTCTCGAGCTCGACATTTTGAACTCATCGAGTTCGATCTCAAGTTTGAACTTCGTAAAATTAATTTGAGACTCGACTCGATTAAGTCAAAATTATACTCAACTCGACTTGTTTGCACGCCTACAATAGACCTACACTTAATTTATACTAAGGGAAGAGGACCTGAAAAAGACCAAGGAGAGATCGGAAAGGATTGAATCACTACCGTCCCAGACGGGTGTACGCCCGTTTAAAAAAACACTTAAAGTGACGGGCCACATATAATGGCAAATGGTGAAAGACAACGTTTGAACCGTTGACCTCCCACCCCACCAAATCTTACAAGCTATGGTGGTAGCCAACAGCTAATTTGCAATACCTTTCTCAAATATGTACTTAATGGTGAAGGGAAAAACTCGTTATTATTTCTAATGGTCGAATACTTTATATCCCACCACGGTAACCATCACATTTCCAAAATCTCACAGCTTGGCCGAATACTTTATCCTCCCAAATCATAACTAAGAACTTGGTTTGGTTGCAGGAATCCAATTCAACCCTACGAATGTTGTGTTAACCACCTGGTCGGAGTTGATATTATATCTGCAGGCAAACCCCAAGTAAACACTGCTAAAAAGCGAACTGGTCTAAATATTGCATTCTATATTGCTTTTGACCATATGTTTGTCACTCCATTAGAGGTCTCAGCACAATGAAGATGTATGAATCGCTATATAGCCTGTTGCCTTTGTGACTCAAAAAGGCTCTACATCTAGAATACATTGCAATCTAAAACAGGTAAAATCTAATCTCATTCAAATAACCTACGAGCTCCTACCTACAGGTTTCACGAAGACCCCGGCTCCATGTTCTGGCTGCGCAGTATCTCCCATTCCCTTACTATAATTTGAGGAAAGCAGCAAATGAAGAGCTTCTCCTCCAAAAGCACCGAGGCATCAGGCAATCCAGATCCGATCTTGGCATGGTCAGGAACATTAGGTGACCATGCAATACAAATTGCTACTAGTAATACACTAACTACAAACACTATCAAACTTTCTATTACCCAGCTTGCTGAGGTATGATGTCAACATTTATCAGTATATACATATACTTCAGATGACAATAACAGAAAGTTTAGAACTGAAATAGATGGCTGCCTGCAGCACATCACAAGGTCGTATCCTCTATGCTGAAAGGTACAGAACTCTGAATCAAAGAGGTACTCAAATCACATATCAAGGACATCTCCACGAGGGTGCCAAATTTAAAAATATGATAGCCAATGAGATATTTGCTCCACGAAGTGAACTGCTTTATCCACCTAAAATCAATGTCTTCTCGCAATTAATTGCCGGTCCACCTCCTTTTACGAGCTGGACGCTCTGCTTTAACTTCAAAATCTGCACGACTTTCACTTTGGGCAGACAACAAAGCTTCATTTTCCACCTTTTTGACTGTTGTGGCTTCTTTCTCACTCGGCATTGGAAGTTTGAAACGTTCACTGCGCTTCTTTAGTTTTTCCACAGTGTCCAAGTGTCTATCCTCTATGGGCTTCTTATCAGTGTTATTCGTCTCCAAACTGGCAGCATCTTTCTCATTACCTGAGGGGTGTTGCTTATCCTCCACTGGGTTAGAAGCTTCATCATGAAGTTTGCTGCCAATGGAAGGCCCGCCACTACCGTATGCCTCAGGCTGCTTCATCTTCACGGAAGATGAAGCCTTGCTGCTGATACTGAAATCCCTTTCCTTATGGCTGGTCCAGCGTTCTAGTTTGGAGCGTCCCCTCCTGGATTCCGACACTTCATCATCTGATGAAGCCTCTTCCCTATGCTTTTTAGATGGCGGAATATTCACATGGATCTCATTTTCACTTTTTCCCTGCTCAATTCTGCCTTTGAATCTCACCTGAGAAAGAGGAAAATCATAAATTTGAAGCTATACATACAGATACAAATACTTCCATGCATCTGTGTGATGTAACTTGACATGTACTTCCCATTTACTTGCCAGCATGATTCTGATCTGTGCAAGGGATATACCACATGCTACAATCAATGGAGACGGCTGCCTAGCCACAGATACATTATAGAATCGACACAAGCAGATTTTGCAAAAGAAGTATCCACATGGTGATGTTTTGGTCACAAAGAATTACTCTGACTAATATCGCGCTTATTCATTGGGATTAACTGGCTACCATTTTATAAGCTAGTCAAAGCAAATATTGCTATTTCCAGTTTGACAAATACAATGAAACCATACAAAGAGGCTGAAAGCTAGACACAATCCCTTCTACTAGAAGATCAAGAAGAATCTAGATGTGTACCATATTTAATACTAGCCAAGCATTCTCAGAAGTGCTATCATGTTCAACAAGATATTACAGTCCAGCTATTTTTATTGCTATGCTAAGCTTTGCCTGAGTCAGCAATGCATAACAACTTGATCATAAAAAGAAAAAAAAAATCTATTAGTCACCTTTTCCGATTCAAAGATTAAGGTATTGAAGGACATTCAAAATTGTTTTGACATCAGCAGTGCATCACAAGGAAATATATGGTACCATGCACAGAAATTGCATGTTAAATGGTACATTGGAAATATCAGCTTTCCAGAAGCTTCTTTAGACAAAAATGGTTTGAAGGATTATACAAGTTTTACAAACATTGGCAGTCTCGCTTGGGATAACACACCCAGGGTTACTAATTTGCTAATTAAACTTAGAAAAGGTATGAAGTTACAGTTCTATGACCAAAAATTTAGAGATTTGCCTAGGGAGAAGAAAAACTAAAAATCATGAAAAAGTCAATTCTCATTGATGATATGCATACTGTGCCAGAGAACATGGAATAAAAGAAAAAATATTCGCTTAAGTTTCAAGATAAGTGCTAAAGAAGTAGTTGATCAAAAGTAAACAAGGTCCTCACAGAGACCATAAGAGTAAAAGGATATATGAAAACAAATAGTCAACCAGGAAAGCGTAGACATCAAGACGCATCAAATGGTCGTCTAGCTATGGGCATGAGAAAGTTTAGAAAATCTCCACTTCATTAAGCAAAATCCAGTAGTAATGAAAAACTGAACGTGCATTCCTCCCATGATCAATTATTAGAGAATGGACGGCCAATGAATTTCCACTAAGTATCTCAAGTCCAAAAATGTTCATTTCATGTATTCAAGGTCAGCTTTGTCACAATATCCAGAACCATTCAGCACATAATCCTTGAAAATGAGATAAAAAAACCACTCAATCCCATCCAATCACAAAGGCAGGCAACAGGATTCGAAATCATCCCAAGGGGAAGTTGGTTAATGAAAGTCAGGCAGTAAATGGCCTAACTAAACCTGCAAGGCTATTTAATCAATAATACCCATCCCTTCAGAAAAACAGGAAGAAGAAAAAGAAAAGCCAGTTCAGAAATGTAACATACCATGTCGCTTGTCTGCGCACTGATTTCATCTTGATTCTTCCTAGAACGGGCCAAGAAATTCCGATCAACACTCTCAGATTCCTTACCCTTCCTTGGATTTTCTCTGTGTTTTCTCTCATGCACCTTGTAGTTCTCAACATTGGCAGCCCGATCATCACGAGTGTTCATCCTCTCATGCCTTGCTCCTCTTCTCTCGTCAGTATTGAGCTGGTTCCCATGTGCATAATACTCCTCACGACCCCTATGTTGTGAAAGACTCTCATTTTCAGCTCGATCCCTCCTGTTGATTAACTCACTCTGCCGCAATGCATCCTTTGAATGGTACTCCTTATCAGAACTTCTGCGGTCATCTTTGCCTCTAGATTGACTGCCCCATGTTTTCTCTTCAGTAGCTCGCCCACTCCTCATTCCAACCCGCAAGTCTTCTTTCTCCTTCTTTGATGGAATATCCTCATTCAATTGTTTAAGCCTATGCCATTCCTCTCGCTCTCGTTGCCTCTCGCCCCTTTCCCTCTGAAACAATCCCTCTTCTTTGTACCTAACACCATGTTGATCATCATCTCTCATTCTTACTTGGTCATCCCTCCTCCGGTGATCTAACACATCATCCCTTTCTCTCTTTCTACGACTGCTACTTTCTCGATGAGCATGCAACATTTCTTCCTTTTCAGCATGCTCCCTCCTTAACTGTGCATCTTCTTTCCTTCTCTTGTTGTGAAGGTCATCTATTATTTCATTTCGACTTTTCACATTATCGTCCCTGTCTCTGTGCCTCAATCCCACATCTTTATCATAACCGCCTTTCCAATTCCCATTATCCAATTGTTTTCTCAATTGATAATGTTCATCTTTTTCATCCCTTTCAATTTCTCGAACCTTACTGCGGTGTCTAGAATCAGTCTCATCCCTA